AGCATAAATATGCAAATGTAATCAGGTTGTCATCCAATCAAAAATCGCTGCTGGCATCATTTTGGCATAAATATGCTAATGTGGTCAGTTTGTCATCCAATCAAGAATGGCTGCTGCCACCATTATGGCATAAATATGCAAATGTGTCAGTTTGTCATCCAATCAAAAATCGCGGCTGTCACCATTATGGTTTCTAAAATGAATGGAACTTATACTTGCAGATGTGTAATCTAATTTAAGATCTGAAATGTTAACCATGGCAACTGTGGCTTGTTTGCCACAAAATATATGCAAAATTCAACTTATTTTAATTTGAGCGTGAATGAAAGTTCTTGTTTTGTTAATGTTTCGTTTCATAAGGTAAAATGAATATTGAAAGAGCTCATGCTCATGTCAGTTTAAATGTATAAATAGTAAGTGTTTTCATGTTAGTCCTAACTCTATTAATAATCAGTAATTTTTTTAGTCCCCGTTCGGACGAAGTCCGAAAACGGGGACTTATGTTTTGACCTCCGTGTGTCCATGTGTCTGTGCGTGCGTCCGGACCTGTATCTTAGAAATGCCTGGACCAATCACAATCAAACTTCACACATACATCATATCATACATATGCACGTCAATTTGTTTCAGGATCTGATTCAAGATGTCCGAATGGCGACCATTTTTGTACTAAAAATCATCAAAATCAAGCATTTCTCGGCTGTTTACAGATGGATTTTGTTCAAACTTGATATATACATTAGACATTATGCGACCTTGATGCAAATAATTTTGTTTTTCAGATAACATTCAAAATGGCCGACTGGCGGCCACTTTGTTTTAATGAATGGGCTTCTAGACCCATAATTCCAACTTGTTTTGACTGATTATGTTCAAATTTTAAATATTCATTATACATCATGTCATACATAGACAGATACATTGGTTTGACGATCCTATTCAAAATGGCCGAATGGTTGTCATTTTTGTGCTAAAAAATCATCAAATATCAAGCATTTCTGGCATTTCTGGATGGATTTCGTTCAAACTTGGTACATACATTAGACATTACGGGTTCCTGATGCACGTCATTTTATTTTTCAGATCAGACTCAAAATGGCTGTCCGGTGGCCATTTTAATGAATGGGTTTCCAGACCCATATGTCTGACTTGTTTTGACTGATTATGTTCAAATTTTTAATACCGGTATTCATTATACATCATGTTACAGATATACGGATATATTGGTTTGACGATCCTTTTCAAAGTGGCCTAATGGTGGCTATTTTTGTGCTAAAAAACTTGTTTTATTTTTTAGATCAGATTCTGAATGGCTGACTCGTGGCCATTTTGTTTTAATGAATGGGCTTTTAGAGCCATATATCTGACATGCTTTGACTGACTATGTTCAAATTTCATATATTCATTATACATATATTCATAATGGCTGATTTTGTTTTAATTAATGCTGTTCCAGAACAATATCTCTCAATACTCGTTTGACGATCAGATACAAATGTCAATCATTTAAATGTTAAACAATCATCATATTCCTGACATGTTTATATTCCAGCTATATTACTATAAAGAAAACGTTATGTCTTAAATTTGATAACTAACGGGGACTGTGCCATGCATGGCTTGTTTTGTGAAATGGTGATTTGACTGAAATAATGCTTTTCTAGTGAGTCATGTCGCTCGGCGTTTTTGTTATCAATGATTTTTACCAACCTAAATTTCTGAGTACTGGTAATCTCAACATCTCATAAAATTATATGCAACACCAATTGTAATGTAGCAATGAGAAAAAATTTGGTAAACAATGCTATAAATAGCTAAGCATTACACTGTCACATGCAGGATTTAATCCTCACCCAAGTGAAAGCCTGAATTTGGGAAAAATATACACAACTGATTACAAAACCAATATTGTCTCACTAAATATGGAATTTGAAAAGAATGAGAGCACAGAAACATTTATGTGTGTAGTACAGTTGGACATTGATACAAGCGTATTGTTATTCAAATATCTTTTACTTTTAAGCTTTTTTTCAAGTTGCATATTATATGATTTGGATGTTTTTTATTGCGGTTTTATGACAGAAAAGATAAATATATCAGTACATAACAACATTCAATGTTTTTAAGTGATTATGTAATAATAATATATTTATTCAGTACCATTGGCCATAATGTACACACTTAAATGCAACACAAATAAATAAATAAATAAATAGATTGTTTGACAAGAATAACCACTACTGCTACATAAGTGATTATGTAACAAATAAGGGATGACGTCAAAAGATCGATGTCGGATAAAAAACTTAATTCCTTTAGTTTTTTTCCAAACCCCCCTACTCCCCACTGAAACTTAATTGATAAATATTGGTCATGGCGTCAGACTACATTCACCATTAAATACAAATTGATAATCGGACAGTAGTATTGCATAGCAGTTGGCTGTCGGGTGGGTGTAAAAATATTTTACAAATGCACCTTATTTGACGCACAGATTTACACTCGAACCAAACCATTTTCTCGTCTTAGATGTGTTTTTTTCCTTTTCGGTTATTTCTGTCCATGATTGGATGGAAAAAAAACGAACTACAAATACTCCAAGATTTTTTTGACTTCATTAAAAAATAAAATCGTTTTTGTAGGATGGAAACTTTTTGAGGTCAAAACCCCCCCACCCCCAAACTAAAGGAAATAAGTTTTTTATCCGACATCGATCTTTTGACGTCGCCCCTAAGGTTTATGATGTTCACTACACACTACATTTGAGTCACTTACATTGGGAGGAATTACCGGTAATTTGTTTTTGAGAGGAATGAAACTGACATACATGTATTTATAAATTGTGTTTATCAGTATGATCTCTGTTATTCGGTTCCACATTCCAGATAGCAATCTGGAATTCCCTTCTATGTTTGATGTTTTTATACTTTATGATATTTTCAAGTTCTTCAACTTTACTAATTTTGTAATACCTATTTATATGTTAGACTAGATATAGTCTATTATGGTAAGGACTTTGAAAAATCTACAAATAATAGACTAGTGAATCAGTAGGGAATGTTATGTGCAGGCCTGTGCATGCAAGTTCCCATGGTAATGTACTGAAGTCATGGAGACAACCAATCAGTGTTGACACGGAATTCCATAGCAATTCACCAAACTATTCATGAATGTCTGGATTCCAAGCTATTTAACTACACCACATAAATGATAAATATGATTACATTTAGTCCATGTTTGAACAACTATAACAGGGAATAATTTTAATTTTGTCACTATACACAGATCCCCGACTTTCTCCCCTCTGACGAGACTATTTAAGATGCACCCTATTTTACACAATTCTATTAAATGATTTATTTTTCTGACAGGCATTAGATTTATCAGTTATGAACATATTTAATTAAGCAACACATTAATTGGTTCAACCATATATATTTAATGTTCAAACTTGACAACCTAAAATAAGTACACTAAGTTTTGCAAATTACATTAAAAGTAGAAATATTTGTAGGTAGAGGAATTTCTACTATATATACATTATAAGTACTGAATAAATAACTGTAATATTATAACCCTGTACTCTGACCTGCATCCCCTCGAGTAAAAATGAATTCTTCCAATTGTGGGCCAGTAGTGTTAACTACTTAAAATCAGATGTGTGGTTCGTTTCCAGCACGACATACATTTATGAAAGAAAATTCTTCTTTTCTCATCTTCTACAAAACTGACCTCCCCAGCAAAAAATAATCTCAGCTAGGATTTAACAAGGGCAAGAAAAGGAGCTACTTATATTTTGTATAAGTAATCGCACAAGCTAGAATGCAATTATGATTAGCATCTTGTTAACACACAAGACCTTAGCTGACCAAGGAATCTCTGAAAAGTCAGAATTGTATTAAACTTACAAGATCCTTTGTGTAAAATGTGCTGTTTACAAAGATTCTTTGTGTAAAGTGTGGTGTTTACAAAGATTCTTTGTGTAAAATGTGCTGTTTACAAAGATCCTTTGTGTAAAGTGTGCTGTTTACACAGATCCTTTGTGTAAAGTGTTGTGTTTACAAAGATCCTTTGTGTAAAGTGTGGTGTTTACAAAGATCCTTTGTGTAAAGTGTGGTGTTTACAAAGATCCTTTGTGTAAAGTGTGGTGTTTACAAGATCCTTTGTGTAAAGTGTGGTGTTTACAAAGATTCTTTGTGTAAAGTGTGGTGTTTACAAAGATCCTTTGTGTAAAGTGTGGTGTTTACAAAGATCCTTTGTGTAAAGTGTGGTGTTTACAAAGATCCTTTGTGTAAAATGTGCTGTTTACAAAGATCCTTTGTGTGAAATGTGCTGTTTACACAGATCCTTTGTGTAAAGTGTGGTGTTTACAAGATGATATATGTAGTGCATATAGCATTCTTCACCAGGTTTAGGAAAGGTGACGAGAATCATTTATAGCATCCACACACCTTCCATCTTCCTTGTTTTTCTCACACGTATCATCTGCAAATCTGATTGGTCCTTGCATGCAATGTGAAATTGATGTCACCAAATAATCATTCCTAAAATGCCAAAAGCATAGCCTGTTTACTTACTAGACAAATAATTGTTGTGAAAATTGTTTGAAATTTAACTGAACCGCCACTGCTGTTTGCTAATTTACTGTTAAGATACACTGACCGCTGACTTAGCCCACAATTTAGTTAAAATGTTGTCTATATATCTGTAAATACATTGATGAATCCAAATATTAATTATTTGTTCTATCACAGATGATAAACTGGCAGCAACGCACTTTCAAGAAACAGCTGGAAATGTATACACTTATAAAGGGGATATCAAAATTTGTGACTGTGTAATATCATACTTATTATTATACAGGTGTAGCTATTTTCATATGTTCTGAGTCTATGGTGAAGAACATATAAAAATGACTACACGAGTTAATAAATAATATATTACACGGTCACAAATTTTGATATCTTATTTATCACATGTATGCATTCCCAGCTGTTTCGCTGGAACACTTCTATATACTAATTTACTAACACTTTGGAACGTCTTTCATGACATAACACATGTCTAACAATAAAAACCCTGTGTGAACAACAAACCTGTCTATTAAAATCTATATCAGTCTTGGCTATAAATGCTATTCCATAAATGAATACGCTATAAAATAAAAATTTATACATTTTCAGTATTCAATTGAGACAGGTTTTGTTGCAGTCAGCAACACTGAGTGTTCTGTTTACTATGATGGATGTTAAGGCAAATCTGGATAAATAAGTGCAGTCCCAGTACCTCCAGTACGTGGGGTTCTACATACTCGTGTTATTTCAAATGTGTTTGACGAGTCCTTTCAATGAGGCTGCCAATATCCAGATGATAGTATTCTCAGGTGAGGTTTATTGTTCCAGTTTAGATATTTTCAACAACCAATAGTGGTTATTGTTCTATGTCGCTGTGTTTCCATATGTTCCATCTGGTGGTCGGTATAATTTAGGTAAAGTAGCGACTTGAAAACCATTGAAAGCATATTTTCGGATGCCAACATTCTTCATTGTATTGGTCCTCCTAGTTCCTTCACTGTGAAAATGCACACATAATATTAATTAACATAAATACGCAATAAACCTTAAACATGTCAAATAGCTGTATACATAAAAAACAATATAGGGCCAAGAACTAGCATTTTTGGAAATACTGAGTGGCAGGATATTAAAATCTAATCCTTTGGCTGACAAAGACTTACGATTTGGGAAATTTATAAAATGTGAATCCTGCATAATTCATTGCTTAGACATCGCGTACATTGGTTGTGACCATCAGATGCTCACTCAAAGCAGATAAAGCCACATTAATGAGTTTTCATTGCCCTTTTTCACTTGGAAATGTTAGAATTATATTTGTCAGTATGGAATAGAACGTTTGAGTGGCTATTTAAAATGTACCATTTTATTTGTTATATTCTGTGGTGAAATAAGCAATGAGAAATCCAAATCTTAGTGTCAGTATCTCTGCCAATCACATTACTTGATAAATATAACCATAATCACTAATCCAGACAATGTATAAACAATTTAAAATTGACAAAATGTAAATCATTCTAGAACTACAAAGCAACCCCTTAAGTTAAAATGATTTATAAGCATATACACAAAAAATGTACATGTATGTATATGAGAGGAGTGGGGGTGTACTGTTATTATGAGACCAAAACTAAAAGGGTGGACTATGTCTGCAGTTGTTACCTTCTCATCGTATCCAGTAAATGTGCAAAAGTTCGAGCATCTAGACCATAATTTCGTTGAAGTATCATACACTGTTCTAGCGTCACTGACATAGCTGTTCTGTCCTTTGCACTTTTACAACTTGTAAAACGTATGCCAGTCATGTGACTACAAATCTGCAAGGAAACATTGAGTCTGGTTAAGTATATAATAAAGCGCCCTCACAGTTTAAATACACATTTCTCTTCTTTTTATTTTTTAATTGACGAGCTTCGAAATTTACTTCACCTCGGCAGAAAGCTGAAGTATGTCAACGTTTTTAGATTTCTTTGCGCCCACAGCGTCTTGTAATCGTGCAATGAGCACATCCAAAGAGTCCGTCCTTGAAACTTCAACAAAACCAGCTGCAAGGAAAACAACGATTTACAACAATTATTGTTAAATATAATATACATGATCATGTGGATCAAATGTATTGTTTAATTTCTAACATTCATGGCATATGTTTTGCAGAAAACTTGGATGACAACTTATACAGTACATGTCACCATTTTGATCAGAGACAGCAAAAATTGAAGCAAGTTAAAAACACTGAACAAACAACATGGTAAATACTATGTATTAAACAACGTAATTATGTACTGTGTGCGTAACTCAAACCAGTGCTCGCGTACGGCACCTAATCTCCTAGCACATCACGGCCATCTTTCGCTTGGCCACCGGGCATCCTCAATAAAGGATACTTAATAACAGAGCTTAATACGTGCAGACAGCATAAAACTGCCTAATTACATTTCTTGATGCAGATTAGCATTAATGAATCAATGAACCATGTTTAATAATCTTGTGAAACAACTTACATTTCCTCTTCGTCAATTTCATAAAATTCTCAAAATAGTTTTTCAGATGGAAGAGATTTTCCCTGTTTATCTGGTCTTGAAATGATGTATCTCCAATTCTGTTGGGGGGATTGAAAATACTGGGCTAAAAATCGACATGATGCATTATCCCTAAAAAGTCACACATCCTGGCAAGTTATGGTGGTATTGGGAATATAGCAATAATTTCTAGGTTAAATAACCTAGGAACTACTAAATTTAGTCTATTAGTAGCGGAAGCACTATGAATGAGATGTGTCTATGGTCAAAATAAATTGTATTTTAATGATCCAATGTACAGGTATCAATACATGTGTAGTAGTAACAGTGGTAAGATGTAATGAAATTTGATCTGTGATTCAGATGAGCTACAGACATTTGTTGGGGACTGTACACTTTACTTGTATTTTTGGGAAAAATATAATTGAGAAATTAACAATGACAGTGAACTTGTACAACCCAAAGTACCATGATATGTGACCTTCAGGGGTCATGAATAAAGCCTAGACTACACAATAACAAGTTCCTTCTGAGAGTAGTTGTAATCTGTATTATAGTTTTTATCATCACAATCACTCATAACTGAACCACCTTAACAAAATGCACAAACCCCTGAAATTTACTAATACTAGTATTCAGAAATAATGCTATTGCATACATCGAGTAATGATTGCAGTAATGTATAGAATTGATCAGTGACTGAGACAAAAGACATCCAGACAGACATATTTGAAACTTTTAATATTATATTTTGTATGCAAAATATAATATTTCTACTTTTTCAATCTCAGAACACACCCAAATCTAAAGGCTACACCCCTACATGATAATGTAGAACCCCATGCATATCATTTGCATAATTAGTTATCACATTGGCAATATGGTTGCAATACAGTGATGATTATCCACTTCTTACCTGAATGTTGCTATGGATACAAACCTGTTATAGAAATTTATGAGGGGAAAATAGAAGTCAAAAAACGAATGGTTTGGGGACTAAACTAAACCATTATATTCCTGTCGTATTTGAGTTCTTTTTTTTTAGTTTAAATTGCAGATTTTTAATTGGCTGACCACAATGATGTTGTCAACTTACCTTTCAGCTAAAGTGGCGAGTTCATTAATTCCCATCGTGAACAACACTGGACATAGCTTGATCTGCTGCCCTCTCTGGACCTCATTTGGTAATCTTGAAAAACTGGAACGAGGTATGGGGATTTCCACAATAACGTGTGACCTAGGAATGAGGTAATTCTATTTCTATTATAATCATACGATTCATTGTTTACAGCTGCACCTTAATTCTCACCATTTAATACTCATTCATCTATTTTGTATGCAGTCTGGGCTAAATTATAATTTTTATTATGACAATCTCAAATTGTTTTTTCTATGTTTCAACTCTGTCCCAGCAGTGACAGATTTTCCTCCGGGAATTATTGATATAAAACAATTTATAACAGTATTGAAATATTACAGCCGTTCTGAGAATTATTCGGACAGTCAGTTAGCAATATATCTTGGAACTTTGCAAAACACTTGGATCTTTTCCAATCTAGACTTGATGGCACCGTTGTATTGGCACACCCACAATTGGGGGCATTTCATTACCTTGCTCGATGCGGGTAAAACGCGGTTTTTAAAACGACACGCGTTGGGTACCATACATTAACAGGTTATATGTTGTATATGCATTCAAAGTGTTATTTTAAATTGTTATAACCATCTGAGTCCACCTGACATAGCGTAATTTACAAAACAACTCCCGAGTGTTGAGTAACCCCAGGTATTAATGAACTCGTCGTTGGCGGGAAGGCTCAAAGTTAAGTTTCTTAGCATTGGACGCGCTGCAGTTTCGCAACAGTTTTGAGCCAAACAAAAAGTTGTTTTTACATTACTGGTGCATTATGTATCAAATTCAGATTTTATACCAAGGTGAGTGAGTACGTCAGGGATACACGGACGGCAAACTTGATTATAAAGGTTTCATGGACTTTGTCAAATCAAAAGTGCCTTCCTTGAGCAAATCACTTTTTCAACTGTAGTTTGAAAATGAAGAGGGTATGACGACCTTCATTATGTCTAGTCCATTTTTGTAACAAGTACAAATGACTAAAATGAGCACCCAATTTTTAAAATTACTGAAAATAATTACAATATAAATATAAAAAAATGAAGAATAGTTTCTGTATACGCACGCTAGATAATACCGTACTCGACCACATTAGCGCCCAGGGTCCTCAACTCAGAAAATCACGATTTTTTAGGGGTGGGCGCTTACCCGAGCACCCCCCTCGAAAAAGAGTGCAAATGAAAAATTTGATTCATCAAGTGACAAATTACGTCTTTGAGGGAAAATCAAATTACGAAATTAGTTGAGTCGTCATTGATTTTCACAATGAAGAAACAGAAATGATCAAAAAAAATATGCACATTTTATTACAATATTAATTATGTACTACCAGAATTTACGAAATTAAAAACATTTGAGTCTGTTGGAACACAGTCGAAATCAAAATTGTCATATTATCTCCACTAACGAAGGTCTTGGATCATATGCAAACTCTTGATGAAAATCACTTTCTGCCATGATGCATTTGCATATTTGACCTGCAGCAGCGTCCTTTGACCTAATGGGTCAAGTTGGTTATTAACCAATCAGAATGCTGTGTTGTACTGACGCAATTCTTCGGAAATTCCCCAAGACTTTCCGGTAACGCAATGTTCAAGTGAATTATCGATGTCTAAGTACGATCTGTTGGAATTGATTTCAGCGAATAAACGATATGGTTTTTCCAAAAAACTAGTAACTAGCCATTTTTGAGAGGTAAACTGGGTATGGCATAAAATATTTACCGCATTTTACTTGTATTAACAGGTTATTGTCGAAGCGTAGTTTACGCACGGTTACAACATGTTCACAGCGGTCGATATCCACGCTGTATCATATAAAAACGATTACCAAGATTCGTTACGCAAGACAAAGTTTTAAATTAGTTGCATTTTGAAGGGGTGGGCGCTTTGCCGAATGTGACCCCAAATATAAAAATTGCGCAAAAGTGGGGGGTGGGCGCTTGCCCGGGCATGGGCGCTAACGCGGTCGAGTACGGTACTTGCAATTCACCAAGCCGACAACCCCTATGAAATAGTAATCCCAAACCACGCGCCTGTGTTTTGCAAAGTTGCAAGTCATTTTGCTAACTGACTGCCCGAATAATTCTTAGAACGGCTGTGGATGATGAATAAATACGTCACAAAACTGACCTGTCACCTTTGACACTAGGCATTTTAGAATCAGTCTCGAGTATAAATTGAATGGTGACGTTATTCAGGTCTTCAATTCCTACAACCATGTCTTCAAGCATGCCCATTTCTGTACCTATATAAACAGAACCCAGGTATTAGTGATAGTGTACCAGACCCATTGTAAATGAGTGTAAATTTGGGGTCCTAACAACACAATGTATCAACAACTTTGCGACTGTCATAAAACATTCCTAGCAGTGAAGTTTATAATACATGTACTCAGGAGCCAAGTTCAAACCCAATTGATTCATGGCCAGGTATCCCAAATATTGTTTCACAAATTATGTTTTGCAACAGAGTTGCCAATCAATGATTGGTTCACTGTGTGATAAATCGATGCAAGATTGGACCCGCTATTTACAAATAACAAAAAGATCCTTTGTGTAAAGTGAGAAGTTTCAACAACCCTGATTCAAATACATACATGTATGATTTAAACACAGCTTGAAAATGTAAACAAGGGACAGATCATTTAAAACCATAGGGAGGGCATGGTAGATTTTAAAACCAAAAATCTATCTCATCATTTAATCGTCTTTCTATTTCAAATGGACCATTTGTAAACAAATAGTCACCATCTTGGGTGAAATCAATTAAGTCTTGTCATTGTTCAAGTTTCAGTGTTTGTCCATCAGACATGAAAATAGCAGATTAAAAAAATTCCTGCTGTTAAAATTTTACCTGGAATTACCTAAAACACCATGAATTGGGTCTGTACTTATAAAATACACTTTCAATGAGTCTTTGAGGTAGTCTTTCACAAAATAAACTGCATCACATATTTTCAGATTTTCTTAGAAATGTCCTGAAGGTAACGTGAAATTATGCCCCCAAAATCATGGAAAAAATACATAAAAGTGTTTAAAATTTTGCATATGGGGATGGCATTTATGGATTAAAAAAACAGATATAATATACTACTCACTGTAAGTACTAAGTAAACTTTCAAATTGAAGTAGAATTCCGATTTGAGAGATCTGACTTAAAAATTTTTGATCCTTGCCATGTGTAGACAACTTTGTGTAAACTCCAGCTATCGCTCCTGTAATCTACAAGACAATCAACATGTAAACACACACATGTACACAATTAACATGAAATAAGTAAATTATAGGCAGACTTGAGAAAAGGTTCAAATTGCTCAGACATATTTTTAGGATAGCTAAACATGGCAACATGGCCGCCAAATTGCCATAGTTACAAATATAACTCATTATATAGTTAGAAGGGGGCAAGGGGGATAGCTGGTACAGGTTACAGATAAAAAAAAATGCATTTTACGATTTTACAGGGAATAAAATGGAAAGTTTCATTTACAGTAAAAAATAGGTTTTAACACTTTACAAATAAAGCAAATTCTTAATTACATTTTTATAATATACTTGATAATTTGTATTTGAGAATCAAAATTTGAAACTGCGCATGAATTACGGCATTTAATGAAGAAAATGCGTTATACGCTTACAAAAAATAAGATCTTTGTACAAATTACGGACGAATAAAATAGCTGATTACATTTTACAACTTGCCCATGTCTACGAATTTACGTTTTTTATTTATTTGAATTACATTATTACGAAAATAAAAACAATTGATTATACTCTCGTTATACTCTGGCAGTAATGATGATGGACAGACTTTAATACAGACAAATGGAAGCCATATTACTAGTTCAGGCTGGGTACATCCTCTCTCTAAAACTACTGGGTCTTTAACTTTGCACAGAATGGCTTGTACTTACTGCTTGTGTGAAGACAATATCTCTCCGGTGTTGCAATTCAGAAACCTTTATACGGTACTGATGTCCTTCCTACAAATGCAAATCAAAACTGATAATTTTAAAAGGTATTTTAAAATTAATATTATAAATTAAATTGTAAGTTAATCTAATAACTTAAGGTCCTTTGTGGGATTGCAACCTAATTACAGATCAGAAAATTATCACATTTTTTTTTGAAAATTGTGAAACAAGTCAAAATATTTAAAATGTGAAAAAGCAAAAATTGACATATCAAAAATAATTCTGATAGGAATTCACGTTAAAACATTATTTCATGGAAATAAGGGTTTTAAAGAATGAAAAAATATATAATTTTCCTTTAACATTGTTCTCTATGGCTAAAAACAGTACACAAAAAAAAATAGCCCCATGATTATACAGAATAAAACAATGAACATTGTCTTGTAACTTATGACCAACTTTCTTTATTATGAGCTAGGCTTCTACCTTAATAAGTATCAGCGCCAAGCAGTCTGTTAAATGTTGATATAGGTGATTAATATTACTGGTGAGAGACTGTACAGTCTTATTTGCATCCTCCTGCCAGGTTCTGTCATCTACTGAAACACTTTCCGCTTCTATCATTTGATTTAACTTAGTGATATCATCTTTAATCTGTTTTGAAGTGTCTTGCTGGAATATCAAAAAGAAATTATGCTACATAGTAACTTGTTTGAGTTGATCACACACACTCCATTTGATTGCAAAAAGAACGCAGAGAATGCTTGCAATATGGGGTAGGATGTTCTCAATATGTGTCTGAAATAGGGGGTGTTTTTTTTCTTCAATATGTCTGCTCTAGGGGGTACTAAATTTACATTGCGTCCACAATAGGGGGTATGGTTTGCCAATGTGCAAGAACGCACATGGTGTAAGGTTTTAATATAGAGTGACCCCCTGGGAAACAGCCCTATGTAAGTGGCACCAATGTTAATAGCATATGCTGATAAAAAGCAATTATAACCGCTCACCCAAGACTTTTCGTTCTTTTTTGGAATACTCTCCAACTCTTCCCGGGCTTCTTTTAACGTGTCCACTGCTTCTTGAATCAATGGATTCTCACACATCATCAATAATTCACACACCTATCAATGAGGTCAAAATGTACAAATTATTAAACATTAAAGAGTGTTTATTAATGTTTATTATTTCCCAGCAAATACTGTGATTTGTGTATTCTATTAATTAGACAAATTGGGTTTGTAAGTCATACATAAATCCTGCTCAGGACAATTATTCTTAATCCCTCTACTGACATTTTTAATTTCACTTTCAAAATTGTTTTGATTTGGGCTTCAGAGTAAATTTCACTGCAGGTTTTTTGCTTTTTGATGTATCGGTAGAGTGAAAGTGAAAACAGTGCCTTTGCCTTTTTTCCTGCCTTCAAATGCTGGTGTGTCAGCCATTTTAAAAAACATGAAGCAACAATAACAAACCAATTTCTGGTCTTCGGGTTTGAATAATCTCAAAGGTAACCAATAATACGCAGTGTAACTTTCTGCAACAATGTTGCACCAGTCAGCATAAAAACTTCAGTGAAATATACCGATAACATTTAAAAATAAAAAACTAAATATTTACTCAGCTGTTACCCAGAAGAGACCAAGCTACTTCTGGTAAGTAGAGGGCACTTCGGGTAACATCAGGGTTAAAAATCATAATCCTGAGCGGGATTTATGTTTGATAAATAAACCCAATTTGTCAAATTATACTATCGTATTTGGTCTATTAGAAGTGCATCTACAATAGAAGCACATAAACAAAACCACACATTTTATGCGTTGTACACTGGAGCTTTAAATTATGACCTTAGCAACACACCTTTAATGTAGACGCATGCACTACTAATAGAGCAAATACAGTATATCTATAAAATACACAAATCACAGTACCGGTAGTATTTGGTGGCAATGACATAATTAATGTGATTTGTGTGAATTGAATTAGTGAGACCATGAAACCCACACTCTAGGCAAGGCTATGATTCACTTTCATTTCTTTTTTACCGTTCTATATAGAGGAGGCCATCTTGAATTCGCCCCAGCCATAAGAAAAACTCGAGCAGTTAAAAAATCAAAAACTTTCACAGCCAAACATTATTTCAGGGAATTTTAAGCTAATGTCAACGAAATTCTACCACATTCAGTGTTTTTGCATGGAAAATCCTGAATACGAACACCTCATTAGGCACAGAACCTAGTAAAACTTCCAGGGGTAAGACCTTCTCTGATTAGCTTCATGAATTTGAACACTGTTTCAGTTTCAAGTGCCTGAGAAAAAGTTCTGTGCTTGTTAAAACACTTGTACGCAAAAGATTTTTCATGCAAAAATACTAAATGTGGTAGAATTTCGTTAGTGGTTGGCTTAAAGTTCTCAAAATAGAACGTGTGTCTGTTCAAGTTTGGGATTTTTTGTCTGTTTGAAATTTGAAAACATATTTCATTACTTTTTTAAAGTTTTTCTTAAATCTAGCAGGATGGTATAGTATAAATAGCCGGATGGTATAGTATAAATATCAGTAAATTAATTTAACCCACTTATTACATTGGTATATGCTCTCAATTTATCACAACTATAATTTAATGAAGCAGTAATATTTTTTGTGCAAAAAATATAATTATGAATTTTATATTCTAACTTGTGTTGAAAAATTACCGTTGACAGAGTGTGTTTCAAAATAAAAATGCAGTTAATTTGTTAGTTCAAAAATGAATGATATTTGATGATGAAAATAAATTATATTGTTAATTTACCAAATATCAATTTTTAATTAAAACAAAACCACTGTAAGCAGATCTTTGAAGCGATTGTATTTTCCTATCTCACACATTTTGTTTACCTTTCCTCTGACAGAATAACTCATACCCAATGAATTTGGAAAACCAAATGTGTGTGGTCGCGGCAAAATGTGGTTCGGTGACTGCGCCAAATAGTGCAGTTTAGGGGACCGTGGTTGTGTATTGAGAGGAGATAGAATCTACATCAAAAGAACACGATATGAACATGCAATAAAGAATAGATGTAAGGGTTAAAGAAGTAGAGATAAAAGGATTTGACATCAAGATGAACAACTGAATTAAAAAGTAACACCGACTGATGAGGTACATGTAAATTCAACATTTGACATTGTTTGAATCGGGTTAAAGAAGTAGAGATACTAGTAATAGAATTTAACATCGAGATGAAAGACAGAATTAAAAAATAACACTGACTGAGCTTAATCAGGTAAATTCAACATTTGACATTGTTTGAACTAATATGTTTTTCAGCAACTTTCTTAGATTTTTTTTATTCCATGCAATACTCAGCCCAACTGTGGTACGAAATGAACATACATAGAGTAAAATGTTAAAATGTTCATGTTATTTAATGCAAACTACAGAGTGAAAAAATAATTTTTATACTTGAACAAAATATCAATTAGCAAATTAAAATATATGAACAAAATAGTAAAAAACAAGCAGCCTGTTGGTTGAGATAGCTCCACTGTTAGTAATGCACATTCAAATTAGAGAATTGAAGATATCATCATGAAATGAACAATATGTATAGTATCAATGCAATGGGACTTGCTGTTTTCAACAAGAATTCAAAAATTAACAGCGGTCCACCTGTAGTACCTTTATGTATTCAAATCAAATCAATCAGACTTGCAGTTTTCAACAAGAAGTAAAAAATATCACTTTTTTTTTTACCAAATATGACAAAAACATCCATCTAAATTAGAGAATTGAAGATATAACCACGAAATGAACAAATCTGAGAGATGTTCACATGTAGTACCTATATATAATATCAAAGCAATTGGACTAGTGGTTTTCAACAAGAAGTCAAAACCATTCATCAAAATTAGAGAATTTAAGATATCATCACAAAATGAACTAATCCGAGAGAGGTCCACATGTAGTACCTATATATAATATCAAAGCAATTGGACTTGGTTTTCAACAAGAAGTCAAAACCATTCATCAAAATTAGAGAATTAAAGATATCATCACAAAATGAATAAATCTAAGAAAGGTCTGTCCAAGGTACATTGTCCCAAGTTTTCACAAGAAGTACATGCATGCACACATAAATTAAAGCACTACAGTCATCACACTGCATTGTGTTGGATATAGGATCCACAGTGACGTATACATTGTGCGTAAAATACATTATCGGTTTACACAAACACAGGCTGTGCAAAGACTCTAGCGCTTTAAAATACTAAAACTGATATCACATAATATGAAAATCTTTCAAACCAAATTATACACGTGTTTAATGTGCAATGAATATGTGCGTATCAAGGAATACTGTCTTACCTTATCTGTGTATTTCGTACACACGTCTGGTAAACTCTGTCGAGACCCCGTACTGACACACAAATTTATTTCATTAGCATACCAATCTATTTTTGTTTTCAGACACTTCAGGTTTTTCTCCAAAGCTTGTATCTCTGGAATTAGTAGTGATATTACTGGCGCACTGTAACAATGACAATAGAACATGTAGCAGTACAGGTGTAATAATTTTTTTGTTAATTTTGAACCAAATCAGAATATTTTCCTGTTTGCTACAGGTCTGGATGAAAATCAAAGAAAGCTTAGAAAGAACTCCTGTGCTCTGAGAGTGTTGGGGACAAATTATAAATTTATTAGCCTTCCAAACAAGCAACTAATATTTGTCTGTTATTTGAACGTGAAAGCAATGTGAACCACACTATTGAAGTTTATAATACTCACAGAGAATACATTTGATTTTTTTATCTGTGGTTTTCAGTCTAATTTATTACAGAGCACATCTACCACAAGTTCACTTTAAATCTGATTTTTTGAGATATCAGAAATAAACTAATAATAATAATAATAATAATAATAACTTTATTACACTACTAAAAAACCTTCAGAGGGTTTTTGTATGGTAAGGAACATAAATACATACAATACATAAGAGATAAAAAATAAAATGTTAGTACAATAAAAGAAAAAAATAAATTAATTACTTTCTGTGGTTTTAAAAATTGTGCTCTTTAAGTATTTTGCTAAAGCTATATTATTCTCCATAATCTTTTTAAATATGGAATTCACATCCATTGTGTAAATATTTATTGAACACTCATCAAACAGTTTTTTTCTTTGTTCTATATAGCCAGTACAAAATAGCAGGAAATGTTTTTCATCTCCTAATGCTTTAGTGTTACATTTATTACAGTGTCTATTTTCTAATTCTATTTTGGGCTTTGTTCTTCTACCTAATTCTATTTCTAAGTTGTGGCCACTCAGACGAAATTTTGAAAGCATTTTCCTGAGCTGAAATTTGAAATGTTTTGCAAATAATTTTCCATATTATAGCTTACTTTGATAGTTTGTATGTTCTCAGTTTTGTTCCCCTATTTTCATTGGTTCACTGAAATTTAGTTCTTCTCTCCATCTTTGAATATAAAACTCAGATAGTCTGAGTTTACTTTTTTAGTATTTGATTCATT